AAACGAGGAACTTTGAATCCACCTACGTCCGGAAGGCCCTCAGGTCACCGGTGCTTTGAGGAATGTATCTGGCCAGGAAGTGAGGAACATGAAACAAGTCAATTTCTTTTTTTGTTTCTTGTTGTGAGATCCCTGTTGCGCCCTGCCAGCCAGTCAGGGCGGATTCCACGCTTCATTGAGTTCCAGACAAGTATGGTAACATCCTGTATAAGACCGCAATTTTAGCATAAGGGATTTTTTTTTTTTTTTTTTTTGTAATCTATTGTTCGTGGATAGACGAGGGCCCTTACTGAACTGCATAGGACCAAGTTTCAACTGCAATTGAAACTCGGGCCGAGCTTCAACTGCAATTCAAACTCGGGCCCTGACGAAACTGCTAAAACGCAATTTCGAATGCAATTACAACCTGTTTTGGTGACTGCGCCGAAGTTACCCCTTAAAATTTTATTTAGCATTTTTCGTGGAAAGATCACAACAAAATCTACGAGTACTTCCAATTTTCAGGATTTTTCACGCATTCTTTCGAGTGGGAAAAGTCACTGAATTTGGAACACTTTTTTAGTTGGCCCACACATGGCTGAGTGGCAAAAGTGGAAAATGTGCCGAATCGGTGCGACGATTATTTTGCGGTCTAAATGATTTTTTCACAATGTTACAATATTTTTCCTGGAAAGAACATTGACCTCATCTATGGATTCTCAAAATTTCAGATTTTTCTGTGGGTTCCTCCGACTACAGAAAATCGCCAAAGTAGCCTCTTGCAAAACGCCTGTTTCATTGCGCCTGATCTCCCTGTTTTGAAAAGGCGAGCCTCAACGCCTGGGCCTGAGGGCCCTTTTGCAGTTCCCATGCCCTCACTTTTTTTTGGGGTCCGCTTCTACCCAAGGACCGGTCCAACGCCCCCCACTTCTTTTTGGGGTCCACTTCCATCTGAGGACCGGTCCTTCCGTTTTTCAAAAGTCCCGGTTCTACCAGAGCTAGCTGTAGGTAGTCCGCAATTTTGCCAAGGACCGGTCCCCCAATTTTTTTTACCCCCTAAGAACCCACTTTGCGTCCTGGTCGCCCGCCGCCAAAAATGTGACACCTTGACACAGACGCAGAAGCCCACTATACTGCAGCCTTAGGGCTGCCATTGTCTACCGCGTGGGCGTGGGGAACGCAGCCCTAAGGTAGCCAAATCAATGAGACTAAGAGCTAGCACGAGAGAGAGAGAGAGAGAGAGAGAGAGAGAGAGAGAGAGAGAGAGAGAGAGAGAGAGAGAGAGAGAGAGAGAGAGAGAGAGAGAGAGAGAGAGAGTTTTGTTCCATTTATTGTTATGAGTGTGAGAGAGAGAAAGAAAGAGAGAGAGAGAGAGAGAGAGAGAGAGAGAGAGAGAGAGAGAGAGGTAGGTTGAATGGCAAAATTGAAATATGGGTCAAATTGTGGCCGCAATCTATTTCACAGTTGGAATGATTTTTTTAAATTTATGTAGCGTTTGTCCTGGAAAGATCACAACAAAATCTATGAGTACTCCAATTTTCAGTTTTTTTCACGCATTCTTCTGAGCGCGAAAACTCACTGAATTTGGAGTACTTTTTTAGTTGGCCCAGGCATGGCTGAGTGGCAAAAATGGAAAATGTGCTGAATCGGCGCGACGATTATTTCGCAGTGTAAATGAGTTTTTGTAAATGTTCTATTATTATTGTTGGAAAGAACACGACCTCATCTATGGATTCTCAAAATTTCAGATTTTTGTGCATGTTCGTTTCAGCATAGAAAATCGCCAAAGTTGCCTCTTGCAAAACGCCTGTTCGGTGTGCCTGACCTCCCTGTTTTGAGAAGACGGGGCTCAACGCCTGGGCCTGAGGGCCCTTTTGCAGATCACATGCCCTCACTTCTTTTTGGGGTCCGCTTCTACCCGAGTACCGGTCCAATGCCCCCACTTCTTTTTGGGGTCCGCTTCCACCCGAGGACCGGTCCTTCCTTTTTCCAAAAGTCCCGGTTCTACCAGAGCTAGCTGTAGGTAGTCCGCAATTTCGGCAAGGACCGGTCCCCCAATTTTTTTTGCCCCCAAAAAACCCACTTGCCTCCTGGTCGCCCGCCGAAAATGCGACACCTTGACACAGACGCGGAAGCCCACTATACCGCAGCCTAAGGGCTGCGAAATTACCTGGGGCTGGTCAGCTCACCCATGGGCGCCACCGTTTTGGAAAAAAAAAAAAAAAAAAACAAGGGCCCACGTGTCGTCCCTTTCATGTGGCGGCACGTTCCTTCCTGTCGCACAGTTCTTGCCCGGCACGTTCCTTCGTGTGTGCGGCACGGTGCAGGCCCCGCCGCCCAATTCCGCTTCCAGAAACCAAGTTCCGACGCCCAGTCAGCGTAATCCGTTATCCACGAGTCGAGAGGCGATTGCGTCCTGATGATTTCGTATCGAAGCCGCATCGATGGAGAAGGAGGGAAGAGGAGAGATGGGACAAGCGGACGAATAAATGAATGAATAAAATAAATGATAAACACAAGACAGAACAAAAAAGAGAAAATCTCAGCTTAGACGTGGTGGGGGCCAGATGCAGCCAGGTCCTCGGCACATGGATGTGCTAAGAGATTCAGAAAAGTGTTGTGTGACTACACTCTTCGGGCATACTCACACTAAGACTTCTTTACTTATTTGTGGACGTAATTGCGGTCAGATTCATCCAGGTCCAGCCGTGGAGGCGGTCAAATACATTTAATTTAAGATAGAGCTACGAGTGTGAGTGCACAGCCGATATCGCGGGAGCGGGGCCGCGGGACCACCAATCTTCGTTATATTATATTATTTATTTACGGCGCCGGAGTATCGTCTTCCCCCGAGCACAACGCACCCTTATTTTGGCTGTATCTGGCCGGAAATATAGCTTGTATACATTCATTTTTAGGGTGCGTTACGTTCTGGGGAAGCCGGTTGGGGTAGGTCGTCAGCGCGGGAACGACCGTCGAGCTGGTCAGGGAAGGACCAGCTGGGCCCGGAGTTGGGCCCAGGCAGAGTAGAGGAAGGGCGGGCGGCCTCGTATGGTCTGGCATGGTGTATCTGAAGGGAGAGGAAGAGCGGGCTTTTGCCGAGGGCCGTTAACGGTTTTGGGGGCGTGGGTGATTGATTCGATCGATCGATCGATCGATTGATTGATTGGATTGATTGGTTGATTGATTGATTGTTTCGATCGATAGATTGATTCGATCGATAGATCGGTCGGCTGATGGGTGAGGCAGTCGGCTGACGGGGCAAGAAATCGGCTGACGTGGGGGGGAGTGAGCCAGGTAGCGCAGCGGGCTCTGCGGAGAGCAGCGCAGGCAGGTAGTCGACGTATCAGACCAGGTGCGTTGTTCGACGGTGAGCGGCGCCGCCATGGCCGCCCACGCCGGGTTGCTGGCAAAGCATGTCGCTGCTGCTGCAACTCCAGGAGTCGCCTTGGACAGCTCACGGAAAGTTCAGAGTCAGAGCGCCTGCACTTGTGAGGTGAGCTTCCGTTTTTTATATATATATCGTCAAATAGAACTGCCCGGTAATATATATTTGTAAATGATTTCGTAATTGTCGCGTTGCATCCTTTCTGGTTGTGACTACTAAGTCTAACAAAAACAACAACAACAACAACAACAACAACAACAACAACAACAACAACAGCAGTAATAATTAAAAAATAAAATAAAATAAAATTTAATATAATAATAATACAATGTAATGTAAACAACAACAACAACAACAACAACAATAATAATAATAATAACAATAATAATAATAATAATAATAATAATAATATAATATAAGAACAAGAATATCTGGGCTTCATATTCGAAGAAAGGATATTTTATGATGACGTGGTTATCATTCATATTCAACCTGATGATGATACTAAACGTATAACGATGAATGATGATGATAATGTGGATATTACTGAACGATGATGATAATGTGGATATTGTTGAATGATGATGATAATTTGGATATTGTTGAATGATGATCATAATGATGATGATAATGATGACGATGATAATGATCATGATACTCATGATGATGATAATGATGATGATAATGATGATGATGATGATGATGGTCACCATTAATGACGATAACACCGGCATTGATGTATTCTAACACGTGTCGTTGATTATGAATTTACGATGACGGCGACCTTTTGCGTCCAACGCCACCAGGCCGCTGTCATTTATGGAGATGACAGCAGGTCATCGATGATCGATGGATGGACCTACCCCCGCCTCCGGAGTGCGGTGTGCATGGATTCTGAAGAGGGAGGCGGTTTGCTGGAGGCAGTCGAAATCCGGAGCTGCTACTTCTTACTCCACCAGCGTTTCCCAATTTTGCAATCTTACTCTACTTCTTGTCTTGTACTGTGTATACGTATGCTTGTCTGATTAGTGTTATTATTCTTCACACAAATCTGATTATCGACACAGCTGTGTGTATATTGTATTTCCCGAGCAGCTCATCAACGAACAGTTCGATACTGTGTATCTTGCAGGAGTATTCTACACACATCTAAAGATGAACGTGAATCAGACGGTGACACGTGGATGGATGTGGTGTTCCCGCCAAAAAAAAAACGGCGGGAAAGTGAGAACGGGGAATCGTTTTATGGAACTGGAATCTCTTCAGCTTTTTCAGTAATCAACTTTCTTTTGGTCTTTGATTAAACTCTCTCTCTCTCTCTCCCTCTCTCTCTCTCTCTCTCTCTCTCTTTCTCTTTCATTCTTCTCTCTCGCTCTCTTTCTGTTTCTTTCTCTCTCGCTCTTTTTCTCTTTCTCTCTTTCTCTCTGTTTCTCTCTCTCTCTCGCTCTCTTTCGCTCTCGCTCTCTTTCGCTCTCGCTCTCTTTCTCTCTCTCTCTCTCTCTCTCTCTCTCTTCCTCTCTCGTTCTGTCTTCTTGTCTCTCTCTCTCTCTCTCTCTCTTCGCTCTCTTTCTCTCTCTCCCCGCTCTCCCGGTGCCCGCGGCTCCCCACATTCTCGTACTCCCCTCTCCGCGCTCTTCGCGCTCTCCGCGCTCTCCGCCCGTCTCGGCCCCCTTAACCTCCTTCCCGAAATGGTAAAAATCTGAATGACGACTTGCATAAGAAGCTGGAATAGGAAAAAGATAAAAGCATAATAGAAGATGCAACAATGAGTAGATTGCAAGTTAACAAATTAAAGAAATGGAAAAAAATTCAACGATGGTCGCATGATTTATCATTTATTACGAGTGCCTACGTAATTGTTTTTTTATTTCCCCCTCTCCCCCCCCCCCCCCCCCCCCCCCCCCCCCCCCCCCCCCCCTTTTCTTTTTTTTTTTTTCTGTTGTCCATGATCCTCCTTCGTCCTTTTCTTCTTTGTTCCCCCTTCCCCCCCCCTCCCTCCCTCCCCCCTCTTCCTCTTTTTTTTTTTTTGGATGAATAGTTCCCTAATAAACTAGTAATAATACCCTTCATTGTCGCTGATTAAGTAAAGTAATACCCCAGTACATCGGTAGCTCATAAATTGTGCTCGGTTCGGTTCGGTTCGGTTCGGTTCAATTCAACCTTTTCATTTTGCGCTTTTGTTTTTGAGCAAAGTGCATCACTGAATGATTTTTCTCTTTTCTGTTTTTTTTTTACCAAAATTTGTGCATCACTGTATGAGATTTTTTTTTTTTTTTTTTTTTTTTCTTGACCGAAATTTTGTTATGGACTTGCGCAGCTCCGTCGATGTCCGCTTCTGGGCCGAAGCGTTGCCGGCGGGTTCTCCTTATCTAGGAAGGAGATGCGGGGGCAGCAAATTTGTATCGGTGGGAGGAGGAGGACGACTACGACGACGAAAAGCCATAGCCAGAATGAGAGCGGCAGCAGCAGCAGCAGCAGCAACTATGTCGGCCATGGCGTTATGAGAAGCGGAAGCAAGGGACACCATAGACAGAGCTCGTCGCAGTCGACTATCGTGGTGAGAGCGGAGGCTGGAAGCCATAGCCATGATGACGCGGCGGAACACTCGAGGAGGGGAGCAGAACTCGCGGCTACGTCTACAGGTTTTTTTTTTTTTTTTTTTTTTTTAAATTTTTTATTATTATTATTTTTAATCTAACATTTGAAAGTTTGTATGTATCTTGATGGGCAAGTGGAATATAAAGCGACGAGACTGACGCTCCCCATCAGGATGGAGAGGATAATGGAGCCAGCCTCACAAGGATCTGCTTTTGAAACTTGACAGGGGGGGGAAGGGGGGGAACATTTTTTTTTGTTTTTTAAAACGTATTATCAAAAGTTTTATCTCGTTTCGGAAAGAGTGTTAGAAATTAGAATCACATTCAGTGATTCAATTAAAAAAAAAAAAAGCAATAAGATTTCTGATTTCTTCTTGTCTTGTTTATCAAAATTATTATCAGCAAGTGTGAACGATGATATAACGATGATATAACGATGATATCTCGTTCACACTTTTGCAGACCTTATTATCAAAATTACTTTTTGGTCTTTTTTTTTGGCAAGGGAACTTTCTTTGTTCCCTCCCCCCCCCCGCCCCCTCTTTATTAGGCCCTCTTGTAGTGTCAACAAAAAAGTGAATTCCATATTTTCGCATTTTTCTCATTATTTACATTTCGAACTTGTTTTTTAGAAAGAACTCCACAAGAACAAATTCATCACACTTGCAGCTTTTTGCAACTGGGAAACAAGAAATCGATTTTTTTATTTTTATTTTTATTTTTTTTTAACAAGAAATCGAATTTTCTCAAACAAGAAATCGAAAATGGAATTGTCTCAAACAGGAAATCGACTTTTCTCACTGTACCCAGCGGCTTTCTGAGCTCAGTGCATGCAGTTGAGCATGGAAATATCTGCGAACCATGCACGAAGGACAGTCTATGGCCTCTCTGTTTATCACTATTCCTTACAAGACTCCCCCTCCTGTTGAGAACCTCTTGCGTACAAGGCCGCCCACGTGGCTGTAGGTTGAGCGGCGGCTGCTGCCCCCACCCCCGTGTGTCATATCGACCCACTTGCACACAGCCAAGAGGCAAAGAGGCAAAGAGGCAAAGACAAGAGGAAGGGAACAGCCAAATATAACAAAACAGGGGGAAATGAACATAAACAGATCCTAGATGACAAGTCCCACATGCAAGCACCGCCCCCCCCCCTCCGTCACAACAGGCCAAACGACGGGACAAGACCCCAACCAGGAGATATCAATCAACACCCTTCTTGCCTGCAAACAAGCAAGCAATCCCAGATTCCCAGATAATGAATTCGTTTTTTTATATATCTTCTTCCTTACAACTCCCCCTGTTCAGAACCTTCTCTTGCGTACAAGACATTCTTACCACCAACGATATGGAGAAAAACTGCTACGATTTGATTCAGCGAATCTATGAAGATCATCTCTTTTTTTTTTTTTTTTTTTTTTTTCCCTAGCAAATCCTTTTTTTTTCGCAGCATGCTGTATTTCTGCAGATAAAGATTCATCTAAACTTTTTATATAGATATATAGTGGTATGTTTCACCTGGGCGGCGGCAGCCGGCACAGGGCAGAGAGAGAGCGCCGCCAAAATATAGATAGCAAAGTGGGCGCAGCAAATCAGGCCGAACTGCTTATTCCTCCAAAGTGGGAGGATAATACTTAATAATGAAGTGATTGAATACTACTGTAGTATTAGTAGATGGGCTGTAAGGAGCAAAAAGCAGCAAGCACGGACTGGCTGCGCTAAGCCTCATCCAGTTTCATGAAAAGCACCGGCTGAGTGTCTACTACCAAATAATCCCACGCAAGCAGGGATGGCTTGCCCGTAGTCGTTGAGGGGCGCAGCGCATGTAATATATATACTATATCAACACGGTGATGATGCTAATTTGTATGACTCTTGCTTCCCTAACTACAGATCACGAGAGGGGGGGATGTCTTCCTTGAGCACAGCCATAACTTCGTGTGATGAGTGAGGCTAATCGCGTAACGACCTCGTGCTGCGCGTCTTTTAAAAAGTCCCAAAAAAGTCCCAAGAAAGTCCCAAAAAAGTCCCAAGAAATCCCCCAAAAGTCCCAAGAAAGTCCCAAAAAAAAGTCTCAAAAAAAAAAAAGGGTCTCCAAAAAAGACCATAAATGTATCCAGAAAATTCCAGGAAAAAAAAGTCTCCAAGAAAGTCCAAAAAGGTAAAAAAATGTATTAAAAACCAAAAGGCCCAAAAAAGTCGAAAATTTTCCGAATGAAGTTAGAGATAAGTCTCAGATAGTCCAAGAAAAAAAACTCGTGGTGGCAGGTCCTTTTACGGTTCTGGCTATGTATCCGTTATGGCGCCTTGCAATCTTTTAGAGATGTGGCTGGCACACTCACTTCATATGGCATTCGGGTCGATACACCGGGCAGAACAGATGCGTTTGCAATCACCATTTGCCGTGCTGTATCTAGACCGCAAGTTGGCCCAAATACAGCTACAATGCACGGAACACCGGATGTGTATATTTGTAAGTGCGGTTATCATCAATCATCAATCATCAATCATCAATAACGAAATATGGGGCGCAAGTTGGGCTAAATACAGCCACAATGCACGAAATATGATGTATCTAGACCGAAGGTTGGCCCAAATACAAAAGGACCTTTTTAAGGATGGTCTCCCAGGGCGGGCATGCAGAACCTTCGGCAGTCCAAAGCTGCTGGTCGGAAGCAACTGCTTTGAAAATCCGTTTTCCGGTAGGACTTTTTTTCGACTGAGCTCTGGACGTAGTTGCGGTCAGATACATTGGATCAAGGTGGAATTCGGGTCAGATTCATCTAGGAAAGTCCTAAGAACTGCCATTTCCTCAAAATGGACATCTTTTATTTTTTGAACGAAATTGAAACCGAGTTTTAAAGTTTTTTGGCCGAAAACTCGTCGAAATATGCTGTTCCTGAGGGTCCGGCATTTGTAAAACGCTGGACCCCCTGGCTGTACATGGACCTAGCTTGAGACCAGGCACGTCCGGGCCCCCTGGCTGTACATGGACCTAGCTTGAGACCAGGTACCTCCAGGCAGTCCTGCCTGGAGGTGCCTGGTCTCAAGCTAGGTCCATGTACAGCCAAGGGGTCCAGCGTTTGTAAAACGCCGGACCCTCAGGAACAGCAAATTTTGACGAGTTTTCGGCCAAAAAACTCGGTTTCAATTTGTTCAAAAAATAAAAAATGTCCATTTTGACGAAATGGTCGTTTATGTGAATATCCATTGAGAAAACTTCCATGCTGCCGTCTTCCTGCCGTCTTCAGCCGAATAGAACGCCTGGTAATTATCTCTGTATCTAGGCTGAAAGTTGCCCCAAATACAGCTGTAATGACCGGGCGCTCAATTCGGGGGGTGAAGACGAAATACAGCTATAATGACCGGGAGTTCTATTCGGGTGAAGACGAACGCCCGGTAATTATCTCTGTATCTAGACTTAAAGTTGCCCCAAATACAGCTGTAATGACCGGGCATTCTATTCGGGTGAAGACGGTAGTGGTTAACTTGTCTTCTAGATGGGCATGCTCCACTAACTTGAGAAAACTCCACGCTACTGACTAACTTGTCTGTCCCGACGAGGAGTTTTTTTCGACTGAGCTCTCGACGAGGAGTTTTTTTCGACTGAGCTCTGGACGTAGTTGCGGTCAGATACATCAGACAAAGGTGGAATTCCGGTCAGATTCATCTAGGAAAGTCCTATGTGAGTAATGCCTTGAGAAAACTCCACGCTACTCACTAACAGGTGGTCGGCGACTCGGCGGCAGCGATGTTTGTCATGTACCGTCTTCACCCGAATAGAACGCCCGGTCATTCTAGCTGCATTCTAGCTGCATTCTAGCTGCATTCTAGCTGCATTGGGGCAGCTTTCCGTCTAGATACATACACAGAAATAATGACCCCACATTCTATTCTTCGGGTGAAGACGGTAGTCGTAAACTCTTATGGACGCTTAACTTGCATCTCTTTATTTGATTGCATCATCTCACCCGAATAGAACGGGTGGAGCTGCATTCGGGGCAACTTTCCGTCTAGATACATACACAGAAATCATGACCGCACATTCTATTCTTGGGGTGAAGACGGTAGTCTTAAACTCTTGTTGAGCCTTAACTGCATCTCTTTTTTTCTATTGCATCATCACCCGAATAGAATGCCCGGTCATTCTAGCTGCATTCGGGCCAACTTTCCGTCTAGGTACATACACAGAAATACTGATGGCATAAGACGGTAGTCATGAACTCTTCTTGAGCCTTAACTGCATCTCTCTTTGAAAATTTGATTGCCTGCCGCCGCACAGAGCTCATCAGCGAACAGTATAAAGTCAGTCGCAACGTGTTGGGAAATCCAAGTGAGCGTACCGTCTTCCCCCGAATACAACGTACGGTCATTATAGCTGTATTTGAGGCATCTTGCAGTCTAGATACACAGCTGTAATGACCGTACGTTGTATTCGGCGGAAGAAGGCAGGCTCAGTTGGTACACCTACGAACTGTGGAATGGAAATAAACTTTAATAAAGACACAAGTTCGAACCCAGTCAAGATCAGATAACCAGAATAAAACTATTAAATTAAAAAATATCTATATAAAATCCTTCTGAATTACCTGCGGCCGCCCAGTTCGACAATGATATCCCAAGGCCGTCGCCGTTTTTTTCTCTTGTTCTATTCTTTTTGTTGGTTGAAAGTGTTGGGAATTACGTGCACCTTTTGAAGTGTTGGGAATTGCGCCCAATCGGCATTGAGCAGAGTCTGCTGATGTTCGTAGGGGTGGGGACCACCACCTGAGGGGAGGCACAGGGATTGGACCTGTTGGCAGGCATGGTCCTTTACCTAGCCTGCCAACAGGTCCAATCCCTGTGCCTCCCCTCAGGTGGTGGTCCCCACAGGTCCAATCCTACATGTTGGCAGGCTAGGAGGCACAGGGATTGGACCTGTTGGCAGGCATGGTCCCCTACCTAGCCAGTATCGCCCACCTGCAGGTCGGGTGCCACTCCCGCATGCTTTCTTCCTTGCGATTCACACGATTGTCGCTGCTACGCGGTTGGCCATAATGCTATGATTATGATTATGGTTAGTAGTGGTAGTAGAAGCTAGGTTGAGTAAGGTGAAATTGAGAGAAGAAATTGAGAGAAGCAGAATCTAGCTTCTCTCAATTTCTGCTGTGTATTAGGAACGAGGACATCTACCGTCTTGTAGCACGATGGTACCTCCCCCCCCCTCTCCCCCCTCCTTAGCTGTCAGCGGTGCTGTAGCACGGTGGCCCCTGCCTGGTCCCTGGTTTCTCTGAGCAGAGACATGCGTGTCTCTGACTGCGGGCCGGCTCCTCCAAGTGAGCCTGCAATGTGAATCTTCAGATTCAGCTCGCCTGAAGTGGGACTGAAGATTCAGGCGATGTTTGCAGCTGAGCTGCAATGGGGAGCCGATACAGGCGATGTACAATACACAATGGCATTTGCAGTGAGTCGTCAAATTCAGCTCGCCTGAATCTTCGGTCCTGCTTCAGGAAAAAACAGCATTGCAGCCTTGCTTATCTAGCCGTTGTCTGCATGCCACTCTTATCTATGCTCCCGTCTGGCTGATCTTTCATCTGTGCCCAATGGCCATGTTTAGTGACGATACCCATGCCAACAGTTCTCTCTCTCTCTCTCTCTCTCTCTCTCTCTCTCTCTCTCTCTCTCTCTCTCTCTCTCTCTCTCTCTCTCTCTCTCTNCTCTCTCTCTCTCTCTCTCTCTCTCTCTCTCTCTCTCTCTCTCTCTCTCTCTCTCTCTCTCTCTCTCTCTCTCTCTCTCTCTCTCTCTTTCTTATTATATCTCCTGCTTGCGGTCGAAGTTGATGCTGATCTTGTCCAGGCCTAGCGGCAGAAGGTGTAGTAGAGGGTGGTGGGCAGGCCTCAGGAGGTGCCCGTAGTACTCGTCAATTGGGAGGTAGGTCAGATGGATGGCAGGGACCAGGGGGGAGTCACCTCAAGATGGCACCATGGGACCATGTACCATGGTACCATGGTGCTATGCTAATGCTCAGATCGCAAGTCGTGATCTCCACCAACGCTTACGGGACTAACCCGAGTGTCTTCACGGACTCCTTTTTTTTTTGTTTTTTGTTTTCCGTGCGGGCCAGTAGTTTTGTACATATATGTTTGCGAGAAAGAGAAGAAGAAAAAAAGACGACACGCTTTTGTGAGTTTGTCAGACTTTCGCAGACTCGTTTTCGGCCAGTAATTTTGTACGTATCTTTTTGGCCTTGCTCCACTAAGATACACTCTACATGCATTTGGACGCTTTCTGGGACAGGTGCATTTGGACGAGTTTGACATTGTGAATGTATGGGGTCCAGAATGCGTCTACATGCATGTAGAGGTTGTATAGTGGAGCGAGGTCCATAGTATATGCGTAAAAAAATTCCGTCTGCATGTCTCTTTCTTCTTTGCCTTTCTCGTAGACTGTAGAGCCTGTTGAAAATTTGTGAATGTATTCGGTCCAGAATGCATCCAAATGCATGAATACAACAAAGGTTCAACAGTGTCTGCATTTGTAGAGCCTGTTGAATGTATCTATATCCAGAATTTGTCCAAATGCATGAATACATCAAAGGTTCAACAGACTGTAGAGCAGAACTCCCAGGAGAGTCAATGGTTGTGCTGAATGTATCTGGTCCAGAATACGTCCAAATGCATCTGCTTGTGCTGAATGTATCTGGTCCAGAATGTGTCCAAATGCATCTGCTTGTGGTTAATGTATCTGGTCCAGAATGCGTCCAAATGCATCTGCTTGTGCTGAATGTATCTGAGCAACATCACCCACCACGTGCCCCTTTGTTTCTTCTGTTTATTGCATTCTTGCTGCAGAGCCGTTGATTGTGCGTGCGGCAAGAGGCGAGCCGGTCCCTCGGCCACCTGTGTGGATGATGCGACAAGCCGGCCGTTACATGGCTGTCTATCGGGAGCTGGCCAAAAAGCACAAGTCATTCAGGGAGAGATCCGAGAATGTCGACCTTGTCGTTGAAATCTCATTGCAGCCGTGGCATGCGTTCCGTCCCGATGGTGTCATCTTCTTCTCCGATATCCTTACACCTCTTCCGGCAATGGGCATCCCATTTCAGATAGATGACGTCAAGGGTCCGATCATCGAGAAACTGATGAGGACTCCCGACGACATTAAATGCCTTCACCCCATTGAGCTCGATACCTTGGGGTTCATTCAGGAATCGCTGCGTATCATAAAGAACGAGGTAAGCGTACAGTTCTTTGGCACACAATCTATTTTTGAATAGTTTTCTACAAAGAGCTGCATGCACTGTTCTCTCCAATATGCGCTCCGCCGCAGCATTGTCTCGCACAGCTGATTCTAGATGTTGTTGTGTTAAATTACTCATGAAGTCGTCTTCATGCCATTTTCTTCTTTCTTTTTTGCTATGATCTTTTTGTTGTTGTTTTATGTATCGTACACATGCAGAAGTACACAGTTAAAAAAAGAAAGAAAGAGAAACTGAGGAAAAAAAAAAGGAAGGAAGGAAGGAAAGGGAAAGATCCGAAGACGTTAAAAAAAAAAACTGTGAAGAGAAAAAGGCGAATAGAACGATCCCTTGCTCAGGCTTGCTGTCTTCTCCTTTCTTCATTTGGTTTGCGGAGTGCCCTCCTCTAGTTCATGTTTTTTTTTTTTTTTTTTTTTTTTTTTTTTTTTTCCCAATCAGATATTAAACTGATCAGAACATAAACTACACTTTATAGGTATGTTGCAACTTACCAGTTACGACATATTTGTATAAATTTTTATAATTATAAAAAATACAATAAATATTAAAATTTAATATTTATAAATATTTGTTTCAGGGAGTGCGCTCTTCTGGTTGATACATAAGTTGGGATAATATATATATACATTTTTTGGCTGTGACAGACCTTTCTTTGTTTCGTGGATGTTTTGCTGGCTTGTGATGGGGTGTGAACCAACAGTCTGTAGAGTTTTCCATCTGGTGTGGGTGAGTGATAGTCTACTTTGATTTTGGTTAAGGTRGATTATCAYTTACAGTGTAATCAGTGAGGGGATTCTRCAGACTGTTGAGGGTTCRGCCTCCTGATGAGTCGGTGAAACTCCGACGAAACAGTTTGTCACAGCCCCTCGTTTGTTGTCCTCTTCTCCTTCTCCCTCTCTGCCTACGGTTTACCGTAGGCAGTTCTATTTGTGACGATATATATACACGATATATATGAAACTCGGACGAAACAGTTTGTCACAGCCCCTCGTTTGTTGTCCTCTTCTCCTTCTCCCTCTCTGCCTACGGTTTACCGTCGGCAGTTCTATTTGACGATATATACATATATATATATATACAATTTTCATATGTTTGTATGTTGACGTATGCGATATGTATATTTACGTAGGCTCACACCGTTGGCCTGGGCCAGCTTGAGATACTTTATAGGCAATACATTTACATATGCAAAACTTTAAAATTTTATACATCTATATGGGGTGCGATATGTCTGTTTACATAAACATACAAATTTCACCTACGTAAACATACAAATTTCACGTACGTAAACATGCATGCGGCATATGCAGCAAACATACGTACCGCCTTTGTAAAGATACAAATTTCGCGTGCGTAAACATACGTAGCACGTATGTTTTGTACCTTTCTCTGTTGATCATCTATCAAAAGGCGAGGCCACATTACGGCAAGCTATTCGGTCTACTACTAACTGGCCTAGCTCAGTTGGTACACCCCCCCTGGACTGAACTGTTGGAATACAGACCAGGTGCTGAGTTTGAACTCCACTGAGAGCAGAGTAGTAAAAATACCAAAATTCTGAACGAGGTAGGGCCGGTGAGCTCAGTAATGATATCTCAAGGCTGTTGCCCTTTATTGTTGCCTTTTTTTAAGGCAAGGCATTGAGAAAAATAATGAATAAGAATGAATAAACAAATAAATAATAAATAAAATAAATAAAATAAATAAAATAAATAAAATAAATAAAATAAATAAAATAAATAAATTAATTAAATAAATAAAAATAAATAGAAATCATAAATAAATAAATAAGTAAATAAATAAATAAGGAGGCTATGTACTGGAGTGCACTGTGCACTGTGCACTGTGCAGTATGGTGAATGATGGATGGTTGGTTCACATCCATCCTGTTCCCTGTTGTCATTTATTTAATTACTGTAACAAATTATTAAATTAACATTCATTTGCTCTAGTACACTTAAAAAAAAAAAAGTACAACTCTTAAGTCAAATATGAGTGCCGGCTTTGGTAGCGTTGATCGTCGTTGAGACTTATTGTTTGCTGCATAATCTGCACGTGTTTCAAATTTGCTGCTTTTTTCTTTTGCAGATCGGCGACACAGCGGGGCTGCTGGGTTTTGTTGGAGCGCCCTGGACGCTCGCTACGTACGTCGTTGAGGGGAAAGGTACCAAGACGTACACAGAGATCAAGAGGATGATGTACATGGCACCGGATGTGCTGAAGGCGCTTCTGTCGCATTTCGCGTCTGCAGTGGCGACGTACATCGGGTTTCAGATCGATGCTGGCGCCCAGTGCGTGCAGATATTTGACTCGTGGGGTGGTCAGCTCACGCCCGACCAGTGGGATCGCTGGTCGAAGCCGTATATCACCCAGATCGTTGACTGGGTGCATGAGCACTACCCGGGCTTTCCGCTGATTCTTTACGCCAGCGGAAGTGGCGGCCTCTTGGAAAGAATGGCGACGACCGGAGTCGACGTCATTTCGCTCGATTGGACAATCGACATGGCCGACGGGAGGGAAAGAGTGGGGAGGGGGTTGTCCGTGCAGGGCAATGTAGACCCTGCTGTTTTATTTGCCGGGAAGGAGGCGATCGAGGAGTCGGTTAAGGACGTCGTTAGAAAGGCTGGAAACCGCGGCCACATTCTCAACCTAGGCCACGGGGTTATGGTCGGCACACCCGAAGAGAACGTCGCTCATTACTTCGCGTTTTCTAAGTCTTTGCTGTATGCCCCTAATGAAGTTCCCCAGAACGCTGTCGTCTGAAGAACTGTGACCGAAGTCGCCTCTCCGTCCTCTCCGTCCACTTCAGCAGGAAGCTCTCAGTTTCCGTTCACAATTTTCCGGTCCGGCGCGTTTTTGCAACAAGCCCGTAGCTCTCAGTTGCCTGTTGTTTGTTTTCCAATCTCCCAAGATTGTGTCACGGTACGGCGGATATTTTCCAACCCATTTCTTTTTGGTTTTCGTTGAGAAGCATTGCGCGTAGAGTTCGTTTTCGCCTTGGTGCACTTGACGTCAATAAAATGTGCTGGCTAGAAGAAGCTCGCCTCTTCAAACAAGTGGCAAAAGGGTTGATGCCCAGTGTTCTCAATCAGAAGCACTGTTTCAAGATCCTCTCTTTCTCCTCTTCTTATTCTTCCTCCTCGTTCTCTTCTTTCTCGTCCTCCTCTCCTTCCTCCTCTTCTTCTTCCTCCTCCTCTTCCTCCCATTTCTCTCCCTCCTGTTCGTCTCCGTCCTCTTTATCTGCCTCCCCCTTTTCCTACTCTCCCTCCTCCTCATCTTCCTCCTCTCCACCCTCCTCCCTGCCCTCCTCTTCGCCCTCCTCTCTGTCCTCCTCTTCCTCCTATTCCTTTTCTTCTTCCTCTCCCTCCACCTAGCTCTTCCTCCTCTCCCTCCTCTCCCTCCTCTTCCGCTTCTTCCTCTGCTTTCTCCTTGCCCTCCTCCTCCTCCTCTTTCTAGTCTTCTTCCTCAACTATGATCACCCCCTGCCTCCCCCAGCTCTCTTCTCGTACTTCCCTCCACCTTCATCCCCTGCTGTATCTGATCCTTCCCAAGCTCCTGCTTAGCTGCCGTCTTGTCTTCACCTCATCCTCACGTTCACCTCTTCCTCGTTTTCACCCTCCTGCGCTCCGTCTTCTCCTCTCGTGCATCCTGGTCTTCATGTCCTCCCTCTGCTTCTCCTCACCCTTTTCTCCACCTCCTCTCTTCTCCACGCTACCCCCCTTTGCTTCCTCCGAGTCCTCCACTCTCTACTTATAATAGGCATCGGTCATGGATTCGTTGGCTTGCTTAGCGCGTCCGAAACCCAGAGGCATGAGGTACAGCAGGGGGGACGTCGAGGGCCCATTATAGGTTCGTAGCAATACGAGGTTTAGGATGAGTTCCAAGTGAGAGTACCACCAATCCTCTTTGTGAGCACTGCAACTTTGCGATCACTGTCTTTTTCTTCTTCTTCTTTTTTTTTTTTTTTTTTTTTTT